TGTACTATATAATATAGTTCATTAGGTAGTAATTTAGAAGCAAATTATGTTCTATTTATAGAATAAAAAATCACTCATAATATCTAAATATTTATACCTATTTATATTTTGGACAGGAAGACTATTTTATGTTTTTGGCTCTGAATACTTTTCTTAAGAATTTTAAAACCTTCCTTAGCTCTTTCGGGATATTCCATGCATATCTTAGAAGTTCATTTTGTTTAAACCTAAAACAAATTAAGTACAAAAAATGAACATTTAAACAATACACAAAATTAGTCTTTTAGATTAGTTAAAAAAAAGTGTCAACAAAAAAATAGCTACGCCTTTTTCCTTAAACATTCTTTTTGAAAGAAACTTAAGTTTCTCTACTTACTTGCTGTTTTAGTATTTTAGTAGCAGATGAATATAGTGTAGAAGTAGTAACAGGATTGATTATTATACTTCTTTTGTCGAAATTGCATTTTTCTTTAATATTTTCCTTCCCTGAGGTCTGTAATAAAAATGTTCATTAGCCTAAAAAGTAATTCAGGTGGTTACTTGTTGAATTCATATATTTTGGAACCATGTATTTCTTTCTCATATCAAGAAAAGGAAACCTAAAAAAAATAACAATAAACTTTACAAAGATGTGATATTAAAATAATAATAAGTAATTAACCTTTACTATAATCATTATGAGACGGATGAAGACGAACGTAGCTGGAGTGTACTTGCTCTTAATTTTAATTTTTCGATTAGAAAATAAAAAAGTTTAATTGCAAATTAAAGGTGATTGCCTAATGCACCGCCTCTGATAATTAGGTTGTGTCGGTACTTACTTATGATATTATCTTGAAGTAGCATTTTCAACAGGCCTTTTACACATAAAGCATGTTTTCACCATATTATTAGAGATAATAAATCTTAAATATACATTTACAACCTTTACAACGTTATAAATAATATTATTTTCCGTAAAATACAAATAAGAAATTGACATGTGTCAGAAAGTGTCAGAACTGGCGCTCACAGAAAACTTCTGGCGCTGTCAAACTTGGCAACGCTGATTAAATAAGCCAATTACAGAAGAGGTATTTTCCCCCTCGGGGGGAGTAGATGTTGCTAACAAAATTTAGCGCGGGAAAGGGGGGAAGACTCCCTCTAGTAGTAATTGCTCGGAGCTTTTTACATTGAGAGTTTGAGTTTTTGAGGTCGCTGAATTCAATTCTCATGTCAGATTGGACAAATTGACCGTTGACAGCTGTCAATTCACGGTCAACTTTTTGAAACTCTTATGAAAGAAATAAGGAACTAATTCAGGAAACTATGCTATAAACATTTTACTTTTCCACAACAGCTGATCACCAAATAATACACGATCAACCGTACTTCGTTGTTCCGGGTCGTATCACTTAGGGTGATAAGCTGGGCTCACCTTGAACGGTCACACAACACAAGACGCAGTAAACGTGAATGCAAAACACAAAGACAACGCCAGATTTAAAAGCTTATCTAAGATTCTGCTAAATGATGATTATATGTCAACTTTTGTGCCCTTTAGAAATTATGATATAAAAATTTAATGAATTTTATCACCTGAGGACCTTGCAGTGGATGAAAAAGCAAGGAGGTTTATGGTATGGGTTTAGCAGGTTTCGATTTAGAAAAAAATGAGAAAATGATGTATTTGAATTTTGACTAACCATGTACAGATTTGTTAGGAAATTAAAGAGTACTTATGCTGACTAAAATCTCAAATATTTTACTGAAGAAACTTGGTTCTTAACAGTTTCTTTTGCAGTATACAGGTCATTGAATCAATACGATTATCATATAAAACTGGTTTTATCTAGTATAATGACATAATATTTAGTAATGTTATAATGAGAGAAGCGAGGATAATTTAAATATAAAATATGAAGGTGGGTGAGGTTTTCCTCACGGCGCCCATCAATCATCTTTAAGTCACAGCAAATATTAATGTCCATTCCCCTACACAAGTCACTCTGTTGTCTTCAGGGGTTGAAAACCACTCGTTAGGGAGAGTATTATTATTATTATATTATTAATTAAAAACAAGAGGATTTTAAAAAAATCCAGACTAAAATTGTTGAGTATCATGTATATTCAGAAATAATTCAGTTCTAACAGAGCTAAAGATATTGGATTTTTACACTAATGAATCACCGTGTATACGCGATACGATTTAATACATAAATCAAGATCGACTTAAGCTTATTTGAATATTTTTCTTATAAATTAAATATTCCTTTGTTTCATTGTAAGCCCAACTGATTATATTAGTCATATAAATTTAACATTATTAACTTTTGTCACAAGGGTGTACAAAAATTCACGCAAGAAGTAATTTTGATAGAAAACACAGGTTTTTAATCAAAAATTGTAATTTTTTTTATTGATTAGTATAGGGTTATGAATGGAACAGTATAGTATAATGACTTTCATGACATTGTTGGTAAAAAACATACTCTTTCGTAAAAATGTTTCATAATCTTTTTGTCTAAATGTAGATGAATTTCATTGACACAAACTTCAATTTACTTCTTTAAAGCGTGGATGGTAGTGGACTTATTGGTATAAACTTTATATTTCAAAACAAACCAAAGAAGAAACTTCAATGGCGTTAAGTTAAATCACATGACCTGGGCGGCTAATTCTGAACACGAAAATGGGAAATTACACGACCACAAAATGAGTCTAGCAATAATTGTATTATTTCTTGGACTATATGATATGTGACACCGTCTAGATTATTTTCGAAAATGAATGGTCCAATTATGCACCCAGTCCAAAATCTGCACAACACGTTGTGAATACATTTAATTTTCAACAAACACCCCAGATTAATAATTTTGACGATTAATGAACCCATCAAGATAAATAAGAGCCTCGTCGCTAAAAATGATTTTTTTAGAAAAATCAGCATCCGCTTGTTATTCGATAATGCATTCAACAAATTATAGTCAGTGCACGTGGCCAATATGCTTCAGTTTTTGAATCAATTAAACTGTATAGGCATAAAGATGTAAATCTTTCTTGAGAGAGCTTTTCAAAATGTCCAATTCTTGACCAAGGTATAGAATTAATGTTCCTAAACTTTAAAAAAGACTTTTATGAACGGTTTTGTTGCACGACTTGTTGAATAATGGCCAGAGTGAATAAGATCACCTTAATCGATCCGGTTACTCTGAATTTTTAATTTAATCTATTTACAGTAAAGTTGATAATGTTAAATCGCTATTTCGACTATATATTTTACGAAAATTGCGAACTGTAGCTGCTAAACCTTTACGATATTTAACATATTGCTCAACAATGAAAATACATTACTCTTTCTTGTTACTTTACCTTTTTAACAACTCTGAACGGTCAACTGTCATGGCATTTAAATAATAATAATGACTCTTTAAGTTCCATTAACAATATATACATTTGCAAATAACGGGTAGTGAGATTTTATTTTCATTTTCAAAAATTATATCAAATTTTAAATAATATCTTTATAACCAATACCACGTCACTGGAATAATCAACTCACGTCCTTTCATCCTTTAGTTTTGTGAACTCTGGCATTGGCGGACAGTGATTGAACTGCAGGACTAAGTATCCTGATATTTTATTCACCAGAGAAACATTCGTTTGAAATCTACTCGACTACCTACTACTAAAATCAAGGAGGACAGACCCATTTTTTTCCTTGATGCTATACGTGACCGGTACTCATGAGATTTGTAAATGTAAAAACTTATTTCACGGATTTAAATTTATACATTGCGGTGGTAAATTGTGTCGAGAACCTTTTAAATATGAGGATACATTAAAAAAATTAAATTTAGGTAAAGTAATTTCCACGTTTAACTGGCAAGCGGCAACGAATTTTTTGCTCAAAATGCACACATGATTTTTTCTACGATCACACTTTTTTTAGAAATAGATATAAAAAATTAAAATTTGTAAGTAAATTATAATTTCTCAAATCTGACAAAATTATATTAAACTAGAAAGAAAAAAGAAAAATCTCAAAGACCGCGTCACTAGACAGTCGGGCGATCCTTTTCCTCCTGAAAACAACTACTCCCTTGTCTAATACCTTAACAGGTGTTGGAAAAGTAGTAGGAAAAGAGCAGAGATAGAAAATCATTTAAACACTTTAGCTTTGATTTGGCTTCTAAAGAAGAAAGTCATACTTCGACAGCTTTAATCCTTATTAGGGCTCATCAGCAAGCATTAGACGATCTCAACGTTAGTTACTAATGAAGTCTGGCTAATGTGTTACCTTTACTCTTATGCATTAAAGATGGTTGAGAAAGAGTAGGCATTAAACGAGTAAAAAATGGTTACGCCATCTGCACTTAGGAGGCAAAATAAAAGCTTGTTGTGTACCCATAGTTCCCTAGAACAACGCGGAGTGATCCGTACGTCTGCATGTGGAAGCAAAAAAAAATATTTTCTTCAATTGACACTAAATGTCACTTTTAATGATACTTCTTGATCATAGAAGTAACACTCTTACTGCCTAGCAATTAAAAATTATTTTGACTGCTTTGGCATTATAAATTTGTTTTCTTCTTTTCTTTTTTGAAACGATTAAAAATCTGTGAGTTGTATCTGTTATAATTAAAATAGGTTTTCATTTTAATTATTTTTTTTAAACACACTGTATAAACAATCGGAGCAAAAATTATATAATTCTTGTAGCAGTTAATTGTGCAGCAGTGAAATTTGAGTGAAGAAGAATAACTAACTCAAAAAGGTTTATGACAGCATATATTTTATGTATGTTTAATCTGATAAAACATTTATGACAACAACACGTTTTACATAATCGTATCATCTAGTTGTTAGGTTCACAGGATGATAATAAGTTAGTGAATCATTGATCATGCTTCAGTACCCTCACTGAACCTAATAACTAGCAGCACATTGCCCAAAAATGGACACAATAGTTATTCAAATTTTACAAATGACTGCACCTAATTGTTCTGTACAGTAAATATGCTTTGGCTTGTACAAAGACTAAGTTAGCACGTCTGCATGAATTAGTTCCAGCAAATCCTTTGCCCGTTTTGCTTTATCATTAGGAAACTTTTCCATGGTCTGCTTTCCTTTCAAGCACACAATACAAGTTTGTCGGTCCGATCCTGTAAAATTTACACAAAACTATCTTTTAACTCTTTCCTGTATCTTTTGTTTAGGTGACCATCCGTTTGTGCCATAATTCATGATCCGAAACACCTGCAGATATTGATCTTGCTCGTTCTGTAATAAACTTGTTCACTTTGTACAAGCCGTTACATATTGTACCAGTAAATTCTACATTTCCTGAATCATAAAAAATGTTTACATGATAAACTTAACATTCCAATTTAATAAAAACTACAATATAATCTGTTTCAGTCATCTTTCTAACATATAAAAGACTTGTTGAAAGCTCAGGGAGTAGGATCACATCCTTGATGGTCTTGATATTACTCTCACCTTGTAGAAAATTTATTTCCATATCTCCTACACCTGTTGACCTAATCTTCTGATTGTTGATTGCTGGAAATCCCAATTTCACCAGCTGTACTCTCGTTGAAATTCGACATCCATTTCCCATGATTTGACATATGAGACGTTACGACGGAATCAATAATCCAATCGGGCGATGATGCTTGACTCAGCATTGCCATTGTCAGTAAAGTGGTATTGGAATTCCCTTTTTCATTTCTGAAGGAATTAAACGCATCACTAGTTTTTTCTGCTTTTTTCGGACAATTGATCTTCTCATGACCTTTTTCACCACAAGAATAACAAATTATCTTTTTGTTATTTCTTGCATGTTCATTTTCTTTCTCTATATCATTTTTGAATGTAATGCTGCCTCAGATTCATACCAGTCGCTAGAATAAATTCTACGTCATGCATCTAGTTCTATGAGTTTCGTTTAAACTTCTTCCTACTTTCAGTGTGAGTCAAAGTTACGATTAGAGGGTCGTAATCTGAACTTAACCCATTTAACATTACAAATGCCATAAACTCATCTTCTATCGACACTCCGATATCGGTTAGTTTATGAACTGTACTTAAAATATCATTTATGTAATCTTTCATTGTAGACAATTTTTCATATTTGGTTCCGAACAAATGTTTTTGAAGGTCGAACCGACGATTTATAACTTTTGCTTCGAATGCTGTCTAAAGGTTTATCTTAGCATCTTTGGCACATTTAGCATTGTGGACGTGAACATAGCATGTATGCTTTACAGATCTTGTCTAGAGCTATACTATCTTTCTATATGCCTAACTTGTCGCTTTGGCTCACCCCTTCAATAAACACATCCCATAGTCTATCAAGTTTCAAACTCATCTTCATGGCAAACTTCCAAGAAGCGTAATTTGCTAGACCCTCAACTTTTCTATATTAGGCAAAGAAATTGAAACTGGGATCGTTAGTTCATCCGTCATAGTAAATCTTTACTTACCAGAAAAATACATTTTTAGATTTTTCTTGATTTCGCTGGGCCCATAACCTGTTGTAGTAGTTAATTGTGCAGCAGTAAAATTTGAGTGAAGAAGAATAATCAACTCAAAAGGTTTATGACATCATATATTTTATGTATGTTCAATCTGACAAAACATTTATGTCAACAACACGTTTTACATAAGCATATTATCTAGTTGTTAGTTTCACAGGATGATAATATATTAGTGAATCATTGATTATGCTTCATTACTAATTCACACGGCAAAGAAACATATTTACTGCCTTGGCTAGTTTCATTGCCTCGGCTTCGTCTCGCAATCTAATGCTTGCCGAGCATAGAAATAGTATAGAAAGCCGATTCCATATATCAAAAATGAAACCATAAGGAGAAAATAGTGTGTCGGAGCTCATGCGTATACCGATGCTGGCGCGAACAGGACCGGTGCAAGTTTTTTATTGATCGAACATATTTGTTCACACGATATTTCAATCATACATTTTTAGAGATGATTCTATACAAAAAACGATTAAAAAAATTTCAAGTTAAGGTAAATATGGTTCTGACAGTCCTTATTAAGAAAGATATGGCATAAAATATGAATTAGTTAATTTTCGGCAATCATTAGTACAGTAGTCATGAGATTTTGCTTGTGATTTTAAAAATACTTTCCAGAAAAACCACGTGCTCCGGTTTTGACTACGTTTATTATTAAACAGCGAAATTATATACAAAAACTTTTATACAATCTAAATTAGGTACTATCACAAGAAAATCACTGTTACAATAATTAATTACTTAACCAAAAATTAAAATACTTTTTAGGTACCTACGTAACCAGAAAGGAGCTGGACCATTTATCCTAATATTGATTTTCTCTCTCCCTATGGTAAAACTTAAAACAATAACAAATTGCCTATCTACTAGGGTCGGTAACTAAACGTATATACATAATGGGCGGATAAATATTTACAAACAAAGATACTTTTCCAAACAGGCAATCATTAGTACTGTAGTCACGAGATTTTGCTTGTGATTTGACATCTTATTTGATAATATCATTTGCTACAACTAAATTTAATCTGGGGAGTGCAAAATAGGGCCCAGGAATATTATGTTCGATATTTTTTTACATTTTGTCAGCCGAGACTATGAGTCGTTAGACAGAAAACATTTCATGTTACCATTTGCAATATAAATTAAAAAATTAAAAAATACTACTACATTTACTTGGTACATATTTTATTTTAATTTTGAACCCTTTTAAAAGGGTCTTTCGGTTCCATAATAAAAATTAGTTGCTGCTTACTAGAAACATTCTATATAGCCTAAACCAATTTATAGTTTGTCTTCGATCAATTTAATACAAAGATTTAAAGTTTTTAGTCGATGATAACATTCCACACCAGCACATTGCAAACCTATTTTATAAATAATAGGAATAAACTTGTAAATCATTAATTTGGTAGTTATCTCACTCATATGATTTTTTTGTTTATATGACTATTTCGATTTCTAAATATATTTTGGCCTTACAATACGAAGCGTTTTGTATCTACCACTTTTTTAATGAACGATGAATGTTGACAGGCGTGTACCTTTTTCGGAACAAGAGGCGTTTTAACGAAGGAAATAATTTTCGAACCATCTAGTTAGTTTTCGGAAAAATAGAAAACGTTTGAAGAAAGTTGTCAATAACAGTTTGTCGTTCATGTGTTTCATTTTGATCAGCTTTCATACTAAATTGCGTAGAATATTTTTCCGATTCAAAATCGAGATTCTCGATTTCCACAGTTTATTTATAATACCTTCTAAACTGGATTTATCTATCATTTTATATACTTTATAATATATGTTCATGTCCTACTTTTCACTTTATTAACAATTTTTTTTTAACATACTTCAAAATGGTAGGATATTCTCAATTCGTTGAAATATTTTTTTATGTATGTTGAGCGATAATTCTTTACCACGTTGCCCGATTTCTAGGATTCTTTTTGTTAGAAAAGGAAACAGTTTTATATACATTAAGTCATCATCTTTATTTTTAAAGTAGGTTTTTTTTTTAAATTTCTTTAAACCTTACTGGTTCGAACGCGGTTAGAAATGAAGAAATGTAAATAATTGTTGTGCCAGCCAAAAAGCGAAGAGGAAGAACCGATTAAAATATCGAGTGACAGAAGAGTTCCTAAGATTGTTGAGATCGGGTTTATGTTTTATAATGCCTTAAAACCCATATCGATAATGTCTCCCCGTCGCTGGACAGCCTGTATATAAATATACAGCTCTCTATTTACATAATTATAATTCTTAGGTAGGTTTAGATTTGCAGACATAAATCTTGTAATAAATATAACAGCTGCCTAATACATTGATTACATTTTCATTAGCCAATGTAAAAATGTCTTTTATTGTGCCTAGGATTTGACTAAACACTACACAAAACTAAAAATAAAATGCCACTTTCATCGTGTAATTAATGCCGCGTTTGAGAATCCACATCGGATGCATTTTTTACATCTCGAACGTTTTTTATCCACATCGGACACATCTGTCCCATTACATTTACGTATACTGAATCACGTGATCAAAGATTTACTACTTACTACATCTCAGATGCATCCGATGTGGATTCTCAAACGCGGCATAAATAATAAACTACAAACGGTCCTGTAAGGGCAGCGTCATATAGCCTTGAAACACCGGATTTTAGTGCTATTGCCAGGTCAATATTGAATTTGTAGGTGAATCGCCTATTGAACATTAAAAATACGGTATTAATGACATTAATACGGTAATTGTATATATTTTTGGGAATGTAATTACACATAAATATTATTAGTTGATTATTTAAATGTTTATAAGTTATTTTGTTGCGATATTTCGTAGATATAAACTGTTTAAATTATATAATTTAAAAATTAATTAATTTAAAATTCTTTTCTGTTAGGTATGTTTAATATATTTGGCAACACTACAGGGACAAGTCATGCATATTGCGCAAGCTTCTAGACACACTATTTTGCGATGTCAGGCGCAGAGACGCGTTTTTATACACAGTAGGTTTCAATTTCTGCTTAAATGTTATGTTTATATTGGTCTTCTATATTATTTATATGTTGCCGTGACGGAAAATCTGTTACATCTCTGCCTACTTAAACAAATAACTATTTTGAAACTGTATAATATTTTACTTGGAATTACATACTTGGAATTCTACATTTTTTTTCAAAGTTTTTTAAATATATCTTTTATTTTTTGGGAATAAAGAATATCCTAATTTGAGTGTAATAAACTTGAAAACCAATTACTTATGTGTTTTCAATAAGAGTACATGATTTATTAAAAAAAAAACATAAAAACATTAAAATTATAAACAAAATAAGTAATTTAGAGGAGATGAAGATGTTACTTATCCATGCCGTTCGCCACCAAACATGTTTTACGAATTTAGTAAAGTTATATTGTGATATATAGAATCAGGCCAATTAATAATTTGTGAATATTTTACTTTAACACCCTCTATTTCGGAAACGAGTAATATTTTATGCAAGCATGTTTCGTTTAATCCTATTATTTTTATTCAGAAAAATCTTAAAATGTAATCTGTCCTATTTTTAATGATTTGTTGTTAAAAACACTTATGTTCGTGAAATAGAATGTCTAAAATAAAACTCGATTAATTATAATTAAAAATAAATAAATTTTTTCAGCTTTTTTTGTATACGATAAATATTTTTGTTTCCGATACTATAAAAGTATTCAAACGCAATGAAATGAAAACAATCCGTCAGTAGCGTTTAATCGTCGTACCGTAATAAAAGCAAAAAACATGTCTATTCCTTTTTTATTTATTTCTTCTCCCTTTATTCCTATTATATGGTGCTAGAGCTGGCCGATTTCCGAAACTCGC